ATTTGTTTCTCCACTAGAAGTATGTAATGCATGCACAATACCATCCAGATAATTTGTCATTTAGTGTATGCTCAAAGAACGTATCTTTTTATCAACAGGTACTTCAAGATCTGATTGGAAATATTAGCGAAGGTTTTGTTCACTGATAAACTTTTGACTGTTTCTGATATCAGATGACACTCTATCCATTAGGCCACAACTGCCCCTTTGTTTCTCCACTAGATGTAGGGGCAGTTGTGGCCTAATGATTAGAGAATTGGCCTTGTAACCTGAAGGTAATGGGTTTGAGTCTTCGTACCGGTAGGAAATCTAGGTGGAGGGAGTGAATGTACAGCACTCTCTTCCACCTTCAGTAACCACGACTGAGGTCCTTGTGCAAGGTACTGAACCCCAAGTTGCTCCCTGGGTGCTGCAGCAAATGACTACCTACTGCTCTGAGTGTGTGTTCACTACTCATTGCTGTGTGTGTACACTTGGATGGGTTAAATGCAGAGCACAAATTCTGAGTATGTGTTACCATACTTGGCAACATGTCATGACAATTAACAAACAGCTTTTAAAACTACTAGGCTTTTTCAAGCCAACTTAAAGTTTGTCTACAAGATTGTCAGAGAGCACCAAAATCTGTTTCTAGGCTCCTCAAGATTACTGTGGTTGAAGGACTTGTCGGATCATCATAATATCTAGATCAGATCTCAGGTTTGTTCAAAGTTCACTTTTTTCACCAGTACAGTAATTTCACTTTTTAATATTCTGCTTCTACGTGTGCAAGAACTTTGCGACTGATCGGATTCTCATCACGATCTAGATCAGTTCGCAATTTTTCAAAGATCAGTTCTTACCAGCAGCGTTGTAATTCAGCTTTTTTTTTAAGATTTCGTTTTTGGCGTTTGAAGCCTTTCTTTCGATAGGACAGTAAGTGGACAGGAAGCAAAGTGGGAGAGAGAGAGGAGGACGGGATCGGGAAAGGTCCGTGAGCTGGGACTCGAACTCGGGACAGCTGAAGCGCAACGGCGCTACCTGTCAGTCTAACAACATTGTTCTGTGTTCTTGTTTTTAACCTAATTCACAGTTTACTAATGGTCTTGTATAATTATTAATTACGTACTGTTATGGCCATTAAGACAGAATTTCAATTTTGTTAAGCACACCCCAAACGTAGTCCAATCTCAGCTAAATTTGGTTTGTTTCCATTTCTCATGAAGGGGAGTTTACTGGGTGGGTGAGAGCAGAAGATTTTAAAAGTCCAAAAATAAGGGCCACCCTAATATGAGGTTTAGCTAAGCCAAAAGTTTATTTTTTTTCTCCAGAACTTCATGCGACAATACAAATGTGAAACATTCCTCACATCAAGTCACTAAAAGGGAAATATGAGGAACAAAATCACGATGAGTCATACATACTGGTGCCATTTTACCCGTATGTATGTCATAACGACAAAAAAGTATAAATTTTTAGTAAAAAAAATATGCTAAATACAGTTTCATGGTCAGTAAGAAACATTTATGACAAGTAAATGTCCTCATTTCTTGGCAATGGCAGGTGTGGCATAAAGTTTATTTTGGACTCTGCCTTCAAATCATTCACTGTTTCTAATGCTCTTTTTCTGTTCCGTGCCTTTTCCCAGCAGTGTAGCACTAAAGCCTTTCCCAGGCTGCTGTGTGACAGCCGGATCAGAGCGAGCATTCCTGACAACTCCACTGTGTCAGGTAGGAAAAACAGCAGGTCTTTTTAATTGAAAAGGGATCTAATCACCCAGTTAGCGGAGGATTGTTGAACAACTGTGTATGTACTGACAAGAGACAAGGATTTAAACACACGCAGCTATTGATCATGATCACGTAATTTATTTAGATAGACTTCACACACTCCCAAACCAGATTGAGGGATGTGCGAGTGGATATCAGCATAGATAGGATCCTTAATGTATTTATGGATACTGATATTTCTAGGGGATTTATGTCTGTATGTTTCTTAGGTAGAGCGTTTATTGAAGCACAAATGCACTGAAGTGAGTTCCAGCACTGGAAGTGCTTCCAAAACCAGGGACAAAACCACAGTGGATATCGAGCAATGCTCCCGAATGAAATTTTGTCAGCTTACATGCAAATAAATGTCCTGAGAAACTGCTCAGAAAACAAAATTACTCATAACACACATAATTGATTTCACATTGATTAGTATTTTGATATCCAAAATTATCAATCAGAAAATATATTTATTAAGATAAATATGTGAGACTAATACATAACACACATTTACTAATATGTACAATATAGTGAGTTGAAGATGATTATGCTAGCGCTTTAGAAGATGCAATTTTCATCCCATTAATTTGATAATTAATCTTTAAGAAATGCCAAGGAGCTGGAGACTCTTTAACCGTATTTATCTATAACTAATCTGTTTGATATTTTGTGTAATGTCAGCAAACATGCTCCAGATATGTCTTCCAGATAGATGGAAGGCCTAAGGAAAGCTGACCAGCACATCTGCTTTCTTGATTCAGATATATGCATATAAATATGACTCATAAATCCACTAAATTAGATTGTGAGGCCCCATGCTAACACAAAGCTTTCATGTTTAAAAGCTGGGGTGTTTTATCATTCAGTCTAGCCTATTTGTAGTTTTGAATATTTTAGTTTGTTGAGAGAGGTTAGCAAGCAATCATGGTAAAATCAGAACCTGCTATATATAACATTATCTTTATAGATAGCTCTTAACCTACCATTAATCATGGCACCTTAACATAAAATATGTTACTTCAACACTTCTCGAGAACATATTACTCAGTGGATATCAATTTGAAGTTGGGAAATGACAAACAACCAAGCCGTATTTATACAATAGTACGAGTGCCATCAGTGCTTTTCAGGTTATCAGATATTGTGAGAGGGTTGATTCTCATCTGAAGATAAAAGCTGGTATAAACACAGCATCTTGCCAAAAGCTATATAGTTTCAAAGAGTCTTATTAGCTGCATCTCATATCAAGGTGCCACGTCTTGTTGTTTTCTCATTGGAAAAGCCTTTTAACACAAACCATTCGCTGTATCTGTTCTGGAGTTGTCATACTTCAGTAACAAGATCGTTCTGACTCATGCCTAACCAACAACACAGAGGAAATGTCAGGTTTAGAGAGTAAATGTTTTCTGAACCAACAAGGCCCGTGAAGTCTTTACCAGACACCAAAGACCTAGTCTTATCTGTATCGCATAATAGATCATAACATTCGCTGTGTTCTTCACATGCTTCATGTTAAATAAAACACATCATGACTGATCTACATCCACATAGGAAGTGTGTCCAAATGACACAGAATGTGGTCTAGCTTAAATACGGCTGATGGATACATTCTCCCAAGCTGCTTTCAAAAGGAGACACTAAACTGTATGAGAAAGATGGAAATGATAAAGCAGTGCCTGTAAATGCATAGTGCCATCTAGGGGTTTTTATATATAAGAAATAAAGGGAATGAGTATTTAAGTAAGTTTAAATAGAAAATTATAGATTACATATGAAAGATCGACCCATGGGATGCATACTTTACAAACAGGGAACACATCTGTAGGCTAAGTGGCACTTAAACATTTTCCAGTTTTTCAATAAACATACAGTACATTGCAAATGAACTAGTGGATGATAAGTACTACAGTATGAAGGAATGAGTTTAAAAAATGCATCTTTAATGAATAGGAAATTAAAACATTCGTGACCATCATAGTATAGAATGTTCTCATGTGGTTCTCATAAGGGGAAGAAAATGTTAACTGAACCTTTTAAAGAGAGTTTCTTCAACAAGAATCATTTTTGAAATATTGCTTAGCAACCGCCCACTGAATACTAAATGAAATCCTTGAATATAAGTGATCCACTTAATAAAGGCTTCATTTATTCATGATCATCTCATAAAGTTCTGTGCCGATTAAATCTAACGCAGTGATTGCCCCCCCCCCAAAAAATGTTTTAAATAAAAGAGGTTTCTCATGCATTGGAAATTTCTTCTTCTTACTCTTCTGACCATTTCTAGCTCAACAGGCTACCCACATTAACAACAGCAAATATGTTTGTGCATGTGTTATCAACTGTAAATGTTAACAGCTGTATGTTACTTAGCCTCATGATGCTGATAGACCACAAAAAAATCCTACAAAATAAAATATTGTGCCACAGTTTTACATGTCTGGATGTTTAATAGCATACATTTTGTCAGCATTAATGACTACTGAAAGTAATTAAAATAACCACTTTTGCATCTCATAATAACTTTAACAAAATAATGCAATTATATCACTATTGAATGTGAATCACTCAATATGGGCCAAATTTGCACATCTGTCGTGACATTCCATTCTATTCCACTTATGCAAAACAATTACTTGAAGCACTACAGGTGTTTCGAAAAATGCCATGGGTGTTTTAGCAGACAATTACATAATTTAAAGGCCTATTATCCCAGGTGGTCTTTAGCCCCATTGTACCCAAACATAGAAAATAGTGTGTGTGAGAGGCAAAAAATACAAATAAATAATTAAATAAATATATAAAGCTGCACAAAATACTGAAAGGCCAAAGGTGAAAGGTCATAACTTTATAAGACAATTAGACAATATAAATAAATAATGTTATATTTTTTTTATTGTAAAAAAATATATATATATATTCTTGATAATGTAAAAAATCTATGGTTCCTGTACCAAAAACGCATTTATAGCATTTTCTTTACCGAAAACGGGGGAAATGGCCCAAAGACAATAGAGTGGTTAAGCAGCTTCTGATGATGAGAGCTCATTCTCATCTCCGTTACTGTGGAAACCAACTTCACATCCCACTACACGCGAATTCCTACCAATAACCACATCAACACTTCAGCATTCAAACTATTCATTCCAATTGTCAAAATCTGCTTTTGTTAAAAAATGCATAAAAACGAACCTCAATATAAACTAATCTATGCAATCACGTGTATTTATTTTTTAAAAAGATGGCATAACTTACAGCAGTTAGTTACAGCGAAACTGTTAGCTACTTCCAGATTGTCGATGTGAGGCGTCAGTCTAAATTCAGCCGTTCCGAACTGAACCATCCCGATCCGAAACGCGCTGTACTCCTGATCAGCTCCCCTCGGAAACAAGCCCCCTGCACGACATACACAAAATATATGTTAAAATTATACAGTTCACATCATTTAAAACGTTAGTTTAACAAAAATGACGTCCACACTAAACATACCAATTTGAACACTTGGAGACGCTCCAGTTGTCAACCCACATAAAAGGGAAATGAGACAAATCGATAAATTCTTAAACTGTTGCATCTCCACGACAGTGTGTGTTCACCCACTGTATGAAGGAGATATTTGTCGTTTATACAGTGTTGAATCAAATCCGTAACATGTTGAGGCGTTGCTGCTGTCTGCAGGTGGTTCCTCTATCGCGGACTCCTGCCTCACTCCCGCTTCTGGAAGAATAATGCAGAACTCTCTCTCTCTCTATCTCTCTATCTCTCTCTCTCTCTCTAGTCGCGCGCCTTCCTGTGAGTTCTTCACATACAGGAACACTGCACACATAGCCTACACTGTAACCGGTGACGAATAATAACGAGGCACGTAGGGGGCGCGAAGGTGATTAAAATCAGAAATCATTTCAAAGAACTAGTTTAAAACACAGGTGTCAGGTTTCTAATTATTGTATTCGTTTTGGTAAAGTTTTTTTTTTTACACCGTTTCCAATACATTTTGGAATACAAAAATATCAAGTGCTAAAAATAAACCACACAGTCATGAGAGTCTAAAGGGGTCTTGTCTGTTTTCTTATCTAGTCACATGACAACACAATTACTTCCTGCATGTTGGTTAAACCACACTGACTTTGATTTGGCTGACAAAAGTTTTTCAAATATCAATAGCATTTAAAAAAATGCTTCACTGCATTTCAAATAAATAACAATAATTGTGCCACGCTTATCCCATAACTGCTTACAAGCTGTGGGCAGTTAAACCACCTAGTCATTTTTGTTTTTAAGCCCAGCAAAAATATAAAAAAAATGCTAAAAGCTCATACTGAAAATGTGTTCATCACAGAAAGCTGTATTCAAGATGTTTTTGTTTGAATTTAATTTTACAACTTTAAATAACCTACTAAAGAGAGAAAGAAAGGTTTAATTTTTGCAAGCCCCATTGAATCTGTCGGCCCTTGAGTCAGTAACACCATCCACCTCACTCGCTACGGCCAGTACTGGGCTTCCTAAATTGTGTCCACATCTGAGCGGTTGCATTGATTTCAGGACCATGGACAGGTCCCTCTCACCTCTTCAAAGCAAATGACATGAAAACTGACCTGATTTGATGAGCCTAACATACAGCATTGTTTCTTTATTTCTCTGGATTTTCACATCTATGATGAAACAAAAGCAATTACAATTTAATGAACATGTTGCATTACATAGCTTTGAACAACCTCCTAAAACATTTTTTTTTTAACTATGCGTGCACTCATTTGTGTGTGTGTGTGTGTGTGTGTGTGTACGCGTTTTTGTGACAAATGAGGACATACATTTGTATAATGACAAAGGTATTACAAGGAGAAGGTGACTTTTCAGGACATTACCCCATGTCCCCACTTTTCAAAACGCTTATAAATCACACAGAATGGAGTGTATTGAAAATATGAAATAGCACAAAGTCTCCTGTAAGGGGTAGGTTTAGGGGTAGGGTTGGTAAAGGGCAATAGAATATATGGTCTGTACAGTATAAAAACCATTACGCCTATGGGATGTCCCCACTTTTCACAAATGTAAACCTGTGTGTGTGTGTGTGTACACACATATAT